AGGGACATGAGGCCAAAAGAATGACTCCAAGATAAAAATGTAGTTGATAAATCTGACCTTCCAAAGTATAATACTTCTAGGTATAAAAATCTCTCAGGTGGGGCTTCCCTGGTGGCGCAGTGGTTGAGAGTCCGCCTGCTGATGCAGGGGACACGGGTTCATGCCCCGGTCTGGGAAGATCCCACATGTCGCGGAGCGGCTGGGCCTGTGAGCCATGGCTGCTGGGCCTGCGCGTCCGGAACCTGTGCTCCGCAGCGGGAGAGGCCACAGCAGTGAGAGGCCCGTGTACCGCAAAAAAAAAAAAAATCTCTCAGGTGGAGCAGGTAAAAAAATATTGATAGTTATTTTTAAAAATTGAAAATAAAAAGTAAATTATTTATTCTAGGAAATCCAAAATTTATACAAGAAAGAAAACATTATTTTAGCTTATCAGTAAATATACTATTAGCCTAAATACATTAATAGAAACACTAACTTCGATAATTCAGAATTTTCAAATGAAGATTTTGGTAGTATGAGGGGATGAGAAGTAAGTTAGGAGGTGCTATGGCAGCTAAACCCTTATCCTAATAGGAAATCAGGACATAATATACAATATTGATAAATCAAATCAAAAAGCAATTTCTTCATATTATTTAGATATATAAAGAATAAGTACTTTTGATAAAAGCCTTTAAAATAATTAAAAATGACTACCTCTAAAAACAAGTGGAATGGTGAAGGGTAGTACAGGATTTGACTGTCATTGAAAAACTCTTGATAATTTTTTAAGCAAAATTATGTACATATAATGTATAAATAAATATTAAAATGAGTAAAGAAGAAATTCTCTGATCTGACAAAGCATAATGCAAATACATATAATTTACCATATATGCATTGGCTGTGTGCAAAGCATAGTAGTCATAGGGGACAGTGAGATTTATAAAATCAGTCTCTGCCTTTTAGGAGCACATACTTTTTTCAGAGAATTGAAACAAATATCTAAAGCACTGGAACTGCAGATAAGACTAAAGGATGAAGACCAGGGGAATTCTACAACCTCCACTGCCCATTCCAGCCTGTGAAGCCCCAGTAATTGTGAAATTCTGGTGTACCCCAAACATAAAACACTTACTTGTGTCATTAATCTGATTGCCCCAGTGTTGTTTCTGTAGATGCTATAAGACAAGAGAAAGAATCATAAATTCAGTCACTTCTGCCATACGTGAGTTTTACGTGTGTACATACATGTGAGGTGTGTGTATATATGTATGTGTGTATATGAATATATACACATATATATAAACCTTCACATACAATTTTAATTTTTTCTTACTTAGAATATGTAATGAGAGTTCCTGACAAATGGCAAATAAAGACTAGCCTAGATTAAACATAAGGACTGTTAAGCAAGTATTACTGACCTGAGCTAATTTTCTACTGTTCTTATGTTGCTACTGTCCCATTTCCTGTGGAAGTACAAATTTTAAGTATAAAGCTTTTATTTAGTCTTCTGTGAAATTCAAAGAAACTGCAGGTCACAATGGTATTTGATGAGAATACTTAAGAGGAAAGAATCTTTCAACATAGTTACAATGAGTATTCAAAAGCTCTGCTTTGGTTATTACACTTTGCAGTGAGAAAAGAAAGGCCAGAGAATATTTCTATTCTGGTAGCCAGGAGCACAGTGAAAGAAGAGCATGTACAGATACCAGGGCAAAGGCATTATTAACTTCATGTATGTTACGTTCCCTGTTATTAGAAATTCCAGTTCTTTTCCTTAATGTTTAACTATAACATTGCTTTTGTTTAATCCTTTTATAGATTCTTTATATATTTGGGAAATTTACCATTTCTATTTAATGAGCACTGAAAAACTGATTGGAAGCTCTGTGTGTGGGGGGGTTGGCCTTGATAGTGGGTGGGCTTCAGTATCCAGGATAACTGGTCACCAAGCTGGCATTTTTCTTGGGACACCATCAAATGTTAGTATCTAGAATTTTTTCCTCTAGGGCTTTTTAAGTTACTGGAAAAGACGAGTCCTTCAGTCCTGCATGGTAGCATATGCCTGGCTGCTGGCTGTCTGGGAACAGGGTGGAGATGGGGGCTAGGTTCTCATGCTGAATGTGCAGACATTCATCCAGTCCTGCTGTGTTCAGCCCTGCACCAATATGCTAAAGTTTAGTGCTTATCAGGTTCAGCTGTGCCAGCGACTTGGGCTACTGGCACAGGAGTACGTGCTTTCATGTGGTTGCTGGAGGAGAAGACCTCCGAGCCTGGAGTGGGGTTCTGATGGCTCTGTGTATAGATTTTTCAATTTCCCAGTTTTCAGCCACACCTACACTTACTGTGGTAACTGGTACCTCCTAATCCAGAGCTTCTCTGGGGATCTACAGGGTGTTTCAGCTTCTTCTAAGCATATTTCTGTGTAAGTATTGAAGACAAAAAGTTCTCTGTTCTACTCTGTTCAGTTACCACACCACCATCTGCCTTTTGCTTTGAAACATTTTTAAAAATCTCTTATCTATTGATGTATCTTTCATTCATACTTCTTGTCCTTTTGAGTTGTACATTTTATTTTATTTTATTTATTTATTTATTTTTTTCAACCAGTACGCAGGGCCTCTCACTGCTGTGGCCTCTCCCGTTAAGGAGCACAGGCTCCAGACGCGCAGGCTCCGGACGCGCAGGCTCAGCAGCCGTGGCTCACGGGCCCAGCCGCTCCGCGGCATGTGGGATCTTCCCAGACCAGGGCACGAACCCGTGTCCCTTGCATCGGCAGGCGGACTCCCAACCACTGCGCCACCAGGGAAGCCCTACATTTTATTTTTAACAATCCCTTTACTGTCATTTCAGTGTAATTTTGAGGTAGTGGTTTGGTCCTGTTTAACCAGAAATCCAGGAACTGTTTGTTCGTCACTGTCTCTCCAGTGCCTGGCTCATAGTAGGCTCTGAAATAAATATTTGATGGATGAATAATTGAGTGACTTGAGTTAGAAGTTTTTACAATGGCAGTAAAGTGTTGTGACTATATATACACATGTAACAACCTTAAAAAGCATCTTTTAAATTATGGTTTTGTTTTGGCTCTGTTCCATTTTTTGTTTTAGTTCCTCAACATGGTCGAGAAAACTACGTGTTTTAAAGTGTGTGCTACCTTCAGGATGGATATGTTTGTTTACTTGGTCAAGCACAGTTATCGCTGTTACCTTAGGCTTAATATACACATTTGCCTAAGGTACACATTTATAATTTTTCTCTAGAGATAGAATCGTATTGAGGCTGATTTATGTAGTAAGCACAGTCTTTATTCTTATTTGGATGTATATTTAGGTAGTTATAAAGAGACTTGTGGTGATTATGGTGTAAAGCTACCACTGCCTCTTTTTCCATTGGCCCTTTGTGGTTAATAAAGTTTGGGAGTCACTGGATTAGTGGGGCATCTTATCCAGGTATGTTTTGCATTCCAAAGTCAACATGTGAGGATGGGTAACATATAGTAGAGACAAAGAAATTAAGCTATAACAGTGAAAGTGTTACAGATAATATTTAACTGTAAGAGTTAATATTTAATAGTACAGTTAATATTTTGAACAAACAAATATTTTGAACTGTAAGAGTTAATATTTAATAGTACAGTTAATATTTTGAACAAACAAGAATATTCTCCTTCTTCATAAGGTTAGCCCTGGACCACAAATTGGGGATTGTAGAGAGATACGAGTATAGTAGAGAGCCCATGATTTGGCTACCGTGCTGGATCTTGGGTCTCGTAAATGGGATGCTTCTACCCTCAATACTATAGGAAATGAATAAATGAACTTTTAGCATTTACCCCTAAGATCAATGAGTAATTGTAAATTCAGATAATGAGAAAATTACAGCATTGTCTTAAACTACTGTGCACCACCCCCCTCAATCTTAGGGATTTATTAAAGGAATCTACCCAGAAATCCAAAGAGAGTTATTTCTAATTAAAGAGATTAAAGCTACCTCTCCAGTAAAGAAGTAAGAACCTACATAACAGAAGTGGGTTAGGAAGATAGTAGATAAAGGAAGTCCTTTACAGAAAACTCCAGGGTCACAGAAATTAAGAAGTTGGGGGTTAGGATAAGAGAAAGGTGATAAACTTTTTGGAGCAAGAAAACGAAATGTTTTCTAGAATACATTATTCATGCCTGAATATTTTCCTAGTGATCATCTTTATTTCTTGGTTGACATCTATCAAGTTGCTGACATACAAGGCTTAGGGAGAAGAAATTGAGAAGATAGAAGTATTTGTATCAGAAAATAAAGGGTGGAATTGGGTGCATGGGAAAGAAGAGAGAATAGGAGAAGCAAAGAGAGCTTTAGAAAAGAAAGGAAGTCTTAAAAATATGACCAAGACATTTTACAGATAAGTTTTCTTCTCTTCTTGAATAACTTCTCCAGTAGTTATGTGGTGGGATTTCTGGGAAGAAACACAAATAAAATAGAAAGCCAGGAAACTGTTGCAGACCCTTCATTGGAAATAACCTAGTGCCTACTTGTGAAAGCAAAAGTGTCTGATTATCATGTGTTAAATAGGATACTGATTTCAAGGTTCTTTGCCACCTAGTTTTGTGCTAATGTAAAAATGGAATATGAACCTGTACCAAAGAGCTATCAAGAATACTCTCAGGAGAACCATTATTAATAAAATCTGTATTAATAGTGACTGTGGAAAGGCTATACTGCTCCTGGAAATTTAAAAGAAAAATTAACTGTAAAGTTATAATTTTTGCCTTTAAGGCAGTAATACATTTTCATTCTTTTCACTTTCACTTTATACATGAATGTCATGAAATTTCCATCGTAGTTGACTAAAAATGAAACAACAGAACAACAGTACTTTAGTGATGACTAGGCTAGAGACTTAAATATTTTTAAAGGGTTAAAAAAAGCAGAAAACTGGTCCTTCATGATGAAAAGTAAGAAGTCAAATGTTATTTACAAAACTCATTCCCATTCATTTTTTTGTGTTTTGGGCTTGTTTTCAGGCAAAAGGACTGCTATGGAAGATGGAAGTCTTTGTGCGTTTTCCAGAGTGTGTTTCCAAGCCCATCAGTGAAACATGATACCGCTGCTCTGTGTTGAAATACTTGAAGAACACCTACATCTCTGCCGGCGCCTTCCATCCTGCTGAAACCATGGTATTCTCTGCAGTGTTGACTGCGTCCCATACTGGGGCATCCAACACAACATTCGTAGTTTATGAAAACACCAACATGAACATTACAGTCCCTCCACCATTCCAGCATCCCGACATTGGTTCGCTGCTTAGATACAGTTTTGAAACCATGGCTCCCACCGGGATGAGTTCCTTGACACTGAATAGTACAGCTGTGCCCCCAACACCAGCAGTTTTAAAGAGCCTAAACTTGCCTCTCCAGATCATCCTTTCTGCTATAATGATATTTATTCTGTTTGTGTCTTTTCTTGGGAACTTGGTTGTGTGCCTCATGGTTTACCAAAAAGCTGCCATGCGCTCCGCCATTAACATCCTCCTGGCCAGCCTGGCTTTTGCAGACATGTTGCTTGCAGTTCTGAACATGCCCTTTGCCTTGGTCACCATTCTTACCACCAGATGGATTTTTGGGAAATTCTTCTGTAGGGTATCTGCCATGTTTTTCTGGTTGTTTGTGATAGAGGGAGTAGCCATCCTGCTCATCATTAGCATCGATAGGTTTCTTATTATAGTCCAGAGGCAGGATAAGCTGAATCCATATAGGGCTAAGGTTCTCATTGCAGTTTCTTGGGCAACTTCTTTTTGTGTAGCTTTTCCTTTGGCAGTAGGAAACCCTGACCTGCAGATACCTTCCCGAGCCCCACAGTGTGTGTTTGGGTACACAACCAATCCAGGTTACCAGGCTTATGTGATTTTGATTTCTCTCATTTCTTTCTTCCTACCCTTCCTGGTGATACTGTATTCGTTTATGGGCATACTCAATACCCTTCGGCACAATGCCTTGAGGATCCATAGCTACCCTGAAGGTATATGCCTCAGCCAGGCCAGCAAACTGGGTCTCATGAGTCTACAGAGACCCTTCCAGATGAGCATTGACATGGGCTTTAAAACACGTGCCTTCACAACCATTTTGATTCTCTTTGCTGTCTTCATTTTCTGCTGGGCCCCATTCACCACTTACAGCCTTGTGGCAACATTCAGCAAGCACTTTTACTATCAACACAACTTTTTTGAGATTAGCACCTGGCTACTCTGGCTCTGCTACCTCAAGTCTGCATTGAACCCACTGATTTACTACTGGAGGATTAAGAAATTCCATGACGCCTGCCTGGACATGATGCCTAAGTCCCTCAAGTTTTTGCCGCAGCTCCCTGGCCACACAAGGCGACGGATACGCCCCAGTGCTGTCTACGTGTGTGGGGAACATCGGACTGTGGTGTGAATATTGGAACTGCCTGACGTTTTGGGTGATGGTTGTTCTTTATCTGACTTCGAATTTTTTTCTCGTGGCTTCTCCACTTAAACTATATTGTTTTTCATAGGGTGTGTGTGTGTGTGTGTGTGTGTGTGTGTGTGTGTGTGTGCAGTGTGAAGAAAGAATGGTGATTAGTTATAAGTCTGTTACCAAGGATACACAATAGGGAAGTGATCACACGTGTTACCTCCAGGGTTCAAGAGAAATCCTTGATTTAGGGTGGGGAGATGGTTTTCTGTTCCTTTGATTGATTTTGTTTTTCTAGTAGGAATCAGGATTGTGCTTTATTGAGCCTGCAGTTACAGTGAATTGTAGGTATTCTGTATGCTGCTAAGATGCTTTGTCGAGTTTATCAATTATTTTTTTCTGGAAGACACTGCTGCTTTTTGCCATCACATTGGAGCCAAAAGCCACATACATCTCAGTAGATAAATATTTAGTTTTATTTAAAAAAATAACCCAAGGGGGTTAGTGACATTCTAAAGGTCATGAATATTTACTTTGGTGCACTTTAAGAAACAATGTACAAACTAATTCAGTCATGTTTTTCAGAATTGTTTTTATACATGACATGTTGTGCTTTAGGAAACATTGTATTATTTTTAGGAAGATAGTTTTTTTAAAATGTTTTGTCTGTATGTACAGTTTTAAAGGAGGGAACATAAAAATGAAGAACTTTTTCTAAGCACAATAGTGATTCTTTAGAGCGGTAGGGCAGAGTTGAGATAGAGCACCCTTGCGAATTTAAATGGGATGCAGTGAGGCTGTGGCTGGTGCGGGCTGTGGCGATTCCTTTTACCCAAGGATTCTCTGAGTCCAGTGGGGAGAAGGGCACCATTTACTAGACGTCTGCCATGTGCCAGGCCCTGTGCATCATTTTATCCTCACAGCATCCTGTGAGGGAAGTATTATTTCTTCCTTTTTGCAGATGAAGAAGGCAAGTCTCAGAGAGACTAAAACCCTGCCCAAGGTTAGTGGTAGAGCTGGGATCCAAAACTCTGTCCGAGTCCTGAGACTGCATTTCTACTGTACCACACGGACACCTCGTTCAGGTTCAGGTTTGGACGTTTCAGAGTCAAGAGGGAACTATGTGTATCCTTTCATTTTCTTTTAGACTAAAACCTTCTTTTTAAAAATAGCTTCATTTTTTGTATTACCAAAAGAAATGTGAAACCATTACAGAAAGTCTGGAAAATAGAAAAGAAAAAATAAAATCATTTATAACTACCTTTTTAGAGCGGAACTAAAAATCTTAGGTAAGTAAGGGTATAAGGAAATAAGGCAATTTTTTGGTTTGCAAAACAAGTGACAATTACTGAGAAGTTAAATACAGCTGTATATAGGTCTTTGCCCTGTGGGTTTAGATGTTACCAGTTGTCCAGATGTGTTTCTCAATGTTCTGGACAGAACAGCATTGTTGCCCCAGTGCTTGCCCAGAGCAGAGCTGGCTATTGAAGAATGTGAATGTGCTCAGAGGTGTGTTTCCTGTAAAGAGGTGAAGATAAGCCCTGGTCTGAGCCTAGAGCAAGTTTTCATTAAGGCAGGTCTGGGGTTTCGAATTATTTTTCTCTTGATGATGTTCTGCCTCTCCCCCACCCCAGGTGCAACCAGGGCCTTTGGTGCCCTTCTCTCTCTAGTCATGGGAACACGTTATAAAACATCCCCCAGGGATGGAGCTTCAGACTATGGCCATAAGTGCTGAAAGTGTAGCCTCTTGGCTACATCATGGGCTTTATAAATAGGCAAGTTAACCTTGAACACTTTTTGGATTTATAGCATGTTTTCAGAATTATAGTGCTTTGTGACCAGTGGGAAATTAGCCACTTTTCTTCAGTTGTACAACCAGAGAGTTGGACTAGATGAATCTTCAAGGTCTTGTCCAACTCTAATGTGAGAGTAGAGATTTTTTTTTTTTTTTTTTTTTTTGGGGGTACGCGGGCCTCTCACTGTTGTGGCCTCTCCCGTTGCGGAGCACAGGCTCCGGACGCGCAGGCTCAGCGGCCATGGCTCACGGCCCCAGCCACTCCGCGGCATGTGGGATCTTCCCAGACCGGGGCACGAACCCGCGTCCCCTGCATCGGCAGGCGGACTCTCAACCACTGCGCCACCAGGGAGCCCGAGAGTAGAGATTTTTAAAGAGCCCAGCTGATATCAACTTCACTCTTTTGTCTCCAGTATTATTTTTTTACATTTTACTTCATTAGATGTTTCTTAAAATTGAATATCTGAAGAGCATATGGCACCATATCAGGAATCAGGACTTTGGAAGGTGGATGTCATCATGAAAGACCTGGGAAACCCTGCTCTTGAGGCAGCTGTCATGGTATTGGAACTCATTTTCCAGCTAACTTCTCTTTTGGGATTCAAGCATGTTATTCAACATGTTGTTTTGAGATCATCTTCTGATGATACTCGCCTACCTCTTTGGTTTCTAATTTACATTATTCACAGGCAAAATTGCTTTTATCCATAGGGATCTTATAGAACATAAACACTGTAGTAGATATTAGTAGCACATTGAAGTGTATCATGCTTTCCACTTTCAATATAAACTAGATTTCAGGCAGATATTAATAAGTATATTTGAAATTAGACTTTCTCTGAGGAAAGTCAGCATGATCTGTATTCATCTTACATATTGGCAGTAGGTCTTGAGACTCCTTTTGTGGTTGGAGCTGAAACTGAGCTTTTGTTTTCTTTGTCCTATTTTTATGAGCAATCCTTAGGTACTTTAGTGCTGCCTGGTAGGCAGTGCATCGTTTGGTGAGAGCTCTGGGGTGCCTGCTAAGAGGCTCAGTGTTTGTGAAAGACAACCGTGAGGGGCCTTTGTGAGAATTCAGCAACCACACTGAATAGCAGTTCTCTTTACACTGGATCGTCTTGATCAGATGACAGTTTACAAACCATTTTGAACGTTTTTATCATGTATACATTTTGAAAGCTTTAAAAAAAAAAGTACTGTGGTGTACCTTTGAAAAATTTAGGTGCAGTATCGTATGTTGCCTATTCTTCTATATTTGTCTGAGGGAAAAAAAATACCACTACTAGTTATCACCACTGGCTGACAAAATCAGAAATGTTTTTGGTTTTGTTTTTCCTTCTGGCGAATAAGTAAGAAGAGGAAAGAGATAATGAAATATTTGTGGTCAAAGAAAGAGTCAAAAGAAATCCCAATAGTCTGCAAGAGTGACATTCAAACTTTCATATGAATTTGTGTCTAAGTATTCCCGGGGGGCTTGTTAACAGTACAGATCCCCAGGTCCCCCAGAGGGTCTGAGATTGGGCCCACAAATGCACACTTTTATTTTGTTGAGTATTTGGCCTGATGCTGATTCAAGTGGTCTCTGGGACATACTTCAAAGAAACACTCCTGTGGAAAATATATCCACTTAAATATTGTCTGTTTTATCCAAAAAATGTTTGTTTTGTGTTGGAAGCCATTATCTCCTAGCGCATGGATAATCCGCATTGAGAGGAAAGCCTATGTATCATTGTGCCTAATTTGCTGCCACTCGTGTTAGTGCTGGATCACGCCAGTGTCAGCTTTACCGTCTTTCAACTGGCAAAATTCTGATAAACCATGTAGTTTCACAGAAGAGCAAAAAAGGTGACTTAATATTTGAAAGTCATGATTTTCAGGAGTCTGATTCCTCTAATATTTTCTTTTCTCATAGAGAGGTATCTTTATTGTATGTATCCTCCTAAAGCGTATGAGGGGAATGCAAAGATTCATCCAGTTCCTATTGCTGTGCTTATGCCAGCTGTGTTCAATGGAAGCATGAAGAACATAAAATAACCATTTTACTCTATGTATTTCTGTTGCTGACAAGGATATTTAACTTAATCTTGATCTTTGCTTTTGTTTACATGACAATATTTATGTATATATCACAGGAAAAATGTTCACTTGCTTGACATTTTACTCTTCCATGATTTTTAGTTTATGTTTAAAGGACTGTTTAATTCAAATTTATTTTCACAACCATAGTCTTCATTGAAAACTCGATTTTTATAATAAATGAAAACGTCAAAGCACATGTTTGTTATTACAAGTAAATGGTAATTCAGTTCTTAGATATATATTGGTACTAGTCCTTTGTAATTTAAATTAATTTATTTTACAATAGTACCTAACCTATATGAAAAAACCACTTTGAATTTTGTGTTGCAATATTCAAAATCAAAATGTATGATTATTTGTGCATATTCTTATTACAACCAGGAAAAGAGCTCCCAATAAGAAAATGAATAAATGTTTAACATTTCTAAAAGTGAAGTTTTTTTAAAAGGACTGCTTCATTTATCTTAGAAAAAATTGTCATGAATAATACTTTCTGTTAAATTAAAATCTGGGTTTAGTTTCAAATCCTGCTTCCTTTGGGTTTTTATTTTCAAATTAGCTTTTAAAGCCTGTATGTGTATTCTAGTTTTAGAAATTCTCAGAGTAATTAAGGATGAAATGAAACTTGGCAAAAGACTATCAGTATTAAGAGACAGTTTTAAGACATTCTGTCTAGGAGAGTTATAAAAATTTTCCTGCTAAGTCATTTGAAATTAGATTGTCACTGGCAAAGCAGTGACAATGTTTGCTTCTATTTTGATGAAATGATTTCTTATTGCACTTCCTTTTCTAAAATCTAAGGCCTTTCTAAAACCTACTTTTAAATCTTAAGGAAATATCATTTATATGAGTTTCAACTTTTTTGCCAATTAGACATGAGGGTTTTATTTTCTCTTCTTTTTCACTTATATGCAATAGCTAAATATATTTATTTTTAAATTATAAAAGGTTGATTTACAAAGGAAGGTTGTTATTGAATCTATTATACATCTGATAGTTCTTTCTGAAATGGAAAGGTGAGAAAGAAATAGCAAAATAGAGGAACCTGTTGAATTAAAAGAATTTTCACATCTATCATGAAAATAATGAACCCCACTCAACTTATTCATAATAAAGAGAACCTTTAGGAGAAGTTTCTACCTTCTATGTCAAGGTGCAGTCAATTAGATTTAATGCAAAAAGAAACAAAAATTTCATGGCTATCTCAGCATTTAACCCAGGGAAGCAGAACTAGTAGAAGATATTTATTAAGAGATTTATTGCAAGAATTGGCTTACATGATTGTGGGGCTGGCTGGGCAGATCTAAAGGCCAGAGGACAGGCTGTCTCGCAGGACAGGCTGGGAATCACAGGCACAAACTGAAGCTTGCTGTCCACAGGTGGAATTTCTTTTTCCTCAGAAAAGCTTCAGTCCTGCTTTTGACCTTTCAACTGGTTGAATCAGACCCACTCAGATTATCTAGGATAATCTCTTAGTTAATGTGGACTGACTGTAGACTTTAATCACATCTATGAAATACCTTCACAGCAACACCTAGATTAGTGTTTGATGGAGTAACTAGGGACTGTAGCCTGGCGAAAGGGACACATCCAAAGACGGTCACAGTGATGACATCCAAATGTAAAATATAATAAAATTGGGACTTCCCTGGCAGTCCAGTGGTTAACACTCTGAGCTTCCACTGCTGGAGGGCCCAGGTTCGATCCTCGGTTGGGGAACTAAGATCCTACATGTTGCATGATGTGGCAAGAAAATTTTTAAAAATGATAATTAATAAAATATAAATTTAAAAAATAAAATATAATAAAATCCTTCTATGATGCTGTAGTGGTAGTATAAAAAACTAAGTCGCATAAATCTCAGTGTTGAGATTAATATAATGACCAAGATAAGTTTGTTGAAGAGGATGGGAAACATATTCTGACTGCATTATATTCAAATTCACATAATCACAAGGCACAATATTTATCTCTGGATTTCACTGTAGCTATTGTGAAAGTTCTCAAAAGGAAGTAATAATCAACTGATTAGATGATTATGTAAATTAACTTTCTTCCTACGTAAATTTTATTTGTGATACTTGCCAAGGATGATGCCTTTCTTCTAAGAAATTTGAAAGCATAATTAAAACAGTATTAACTCTCAGCATAAAAATATGCTAATAGTAAATAATAATAATAATGATGATGACGGGTGCTATTTTTTGTCCACTTATTGTAGTCAAAATACCCTTTATCTATTTTAATCCACAGTATTTTCTCCTTTTTCCAACTGAGGAAAACTATGCTCCCAAGAGATTAAGTAACTTTTTCAGGTAATAGCTTAGATTCAAATCTAGGCCTAATGCCACAGTTCAGAGTTTTCTAGACCACATTCCCCTGTTATTCCCCGATAACAGAACTGAGTTTCTTTTTAACGTCTTTATTGGAGTATAATTGCTTTACAATGGTGTGTTAGTTTCTGCTTTATAACAAAGTGAATCAGTTATACATATACATATGTTCCCATATCTCTTCCCTCTTCAGAACTGAGTTTCTAGTGAGACCAACTTACTAAGCATCATACTAGATGATGATTCCTCTCTATGCATTAGGTAAATAATCATAACAGAAAAACCTATACGTAAAGTTGTGGATATTAACACAAAACCTAGGTTAGTTTGTTCTTGATTTTAAGTCATTAAGTAGATTTGGCTAAATCAGAATTGAGACTGTCAAGCTGTCTGGGCCCCAGGGAGCCTTGGGTACACCAAAGCCCACTTGGATTCTAATGTCACAGAACTTTCAAAAACTTGCTGACTGTGGCAGAAATTTTGGGAATGCTTAGATACCCAGACAGTTTCTTAGATTGCATAGATCTCACAACCCCTTTTGGAAAGTTTCACCCTGATGCACATTTGGGGTTCGATTATGTACCGATTTGTCTGAAGTACTACGGGTTTTATCTATAGTAGCCAAGACTTTGGAAGAGAAGGTGGAGGTGATAAAGTCAGGGGCCCTGGGGTCCTCCTGCCAGCTTTGACACTCCTGCTGTGCTGCCGACCAGGACTCCTTCAGCCTGACATAAAATGGCAGGGTTTTAACA